ATTGAATTGCTTTGTTGTTCTGGTAAATATATAATCACATTGCCATTGTTCTTTTCTCGAACATCCGAGAGCATTAAACGCACTGTGAACTTCCTGGTGACAATGGTCTCTGATATGACTTCTCAAAATTCACGCAACCGCGTTAATACAGTCTGGTTAAGATTTTATCTTATAGCTGAGAAAATGGCAACAAAAAACCGATAACTGAGATATCAGCAGCTTCTGCCCGACACTCGTTTTACTATTCTGCTGCATTGAACCAAATAAATCAATCAAACCTACCTATAATTTTCATCATCCAGTTTATGTCATCTTTGTCTCCAATTCTTCAAGCTTTCTGCCCAAAACCGTTCTTCATATGTCCCTGAAGAAATATAATGAGTAATTTAAAAATCCGACTGTATATTTACGGTCTACTGGGGATAATTGATAAGCAAGTTAAAGCTTAAAATTGCCTTTAGATGTATACTTCGCGTTTTGTGTATTTTGGTGACCACTAAATATAGTCGGAGGCACGCGCTGGTGCAAATTAGATTTTTCATCCCATTTTCATCAAATTTTGTGGACGATAGACTCAACATAGGCTTAATTGCGAATATGTTACTTACCTTTAGGCTTTGAACCGCGGATCCATAGATATAGTGGACAATCTGCCTCAGTCTTGAAGAAAGTAATCAAGAGTGTCATCGTCCATGCCAACAGAAAAAGTAAAATTAAGTGTTTTCAAATAACTGAAAGTTCACCCTCGCTCCCCCTTCCCGTTTCTGGAAACGTTATAATGCAACGCTATAAACTAATGTGATCAGCATCTTTGTTACTTACCTTATGGTGTCGTGCTTGTTGATGCACGAGGCACAATCTCGCTTGAGACATCGAGAAGATGATTGCAAAAAAGAAATAGACGGATGGCTCGTTAAATACCTGAAAATATACATCCCCACACCTTCCCCCTGAAAAGTGTTGTCCTAAAAAATTGAACCTAGAAAGCACGTCAATAAAGCACTAGTGAATTATTAACAACTTCTCTGAACAAACACACTCAACAATGGGAAAAATTAGGCCACTGTAGGGATATTACATGTTTTACTTGTTGAAAACACTGAATGACTGTTAAGTTTAAGAATCTTGCGTCAGATATAGTGAGGAGTGAGAAATTTGTTTTGCGTAACAATGCAAGCCCGATCTTAGAAATGTAACCTTTATGCGAAAACAACAATAATAATGATAATAATAATAATAACAACAACAACAACAACAATAATAATAATAATAATAATAAATAATCAAATAATCAACTTCATTTATTGAGGCTAGCACACAACAGTAATAACTGAAAAACCAGTGGCCCTCGTATAAATATTTACAGAGTAAAAAAGATGACGTGTTAAAAATTAACAATATAGGAACTGATTCCAAAATATGCAACGATTATCAGTTAATCATTTAATCATTTTAAACAAATTTATTGTAAAACAAATCTCATATGTGACAACTTTTCTTTTTTATTACGAGCACAAAAACCGTTATTCACCCGAAAGTAACAATTCGATTAAATCAGGGTTGTCTAAAAGGACGGAATTTTGTACATCCCGCTGAAAGACATTTTCAACCATGTTATCCCAGGTAAACAACATTTCAGCGTGCAAATTTTAACTTCGGTTTCGACGAAGTGGAGCAAATCGTTGTGAATTCGCAATTCTATCACACGGTGAGAATATTAAAAACAAGTAAAGAAATAAACTCCTTCAAACAACATGCACAGAGAAGACTTAATGTAAGGAAACTATGGTGAGTTACCTAGACGCTGTAGAAGGTATGCTTGAAAGTCTTCATCTCCTCTGTCAATAGGTACATTAACCACTTGTTCACTGCCCTTTCAGTGAACGGTAAGACAAAGGTCTCCTTGTCGTCGTTCAAATCAGACATTTTCCACACGGTAACTAGTTTCTTGAAGGTTATCAACGAAGAATCGACGCAACTTGGTAGTTACCGCATGCGAAGGTGAAGATGAAGTATGAATAGTAATGAGTGAACGTGATTTGAATTTCAAAAAGCTTCACAGGGCAGTAAATTTGCCGAAGACTGGAACGGTTTTTTGCTGTTTATAATTCCCAAGATTTTGTTTGTGTGTTTTATGAAACCTGCGTTTATGAGCTCTGCGTGATTCAAACGAATGCGGTTGGATAACTGCTAAGATTATTTTCTGTTTGGAGGAAGGAGAGGGTGAGTTGGTTGATGGGCCGGAGGACGTGAACTAAGGCAATGAAGTTTTCATACCTCTTCACCTCAACTCCTTTGGATTTTAAACGTTGTCTTATATATTTAGCTGTGAGGGACAACCTATATTCGTTTAGATAATCGCGGGATTATCGTAGTTTTTAACAGTTTACTAAACAAAATAGCTCAAGTTTCAAACCTAGCCATGCAACTAAGCGGGAGTTGGTGTACAACAATTTTTTCTCCTTGTGAACCAGGCCTGTGAACTGAAGCGGGCGCCCTTCAATTGAGGATTATGTAAGAGACAGAATGAGCGTCAAATTGTAAATGATTAAAATACTTAATAGAA